TGTGTCCGTGGAGGCATGCATGCATCCTTGTGTTACCCTTGTGCTTTTGTGATTCCTGTTTGGCCGTGCGTGTGTGTGTGTGTGTGTATGGTCATGTGTATGCGTGTTCATGCGTGCTCATGTGTATGCAACTATGCATGTTCATGTGTACGTGTGTTTATGTGTGTGCGTGTGCGTGTTGATGCGTGCACACTACTGACCACCAGGCCTCTACTTCGCTGACATGTTTGCAAAGAGCTATGCTTACGCCGGCGGTAGGTACCCGCGGCACATGGCCAAATACGACGATCGTGTCTACATGTTCCTGTGTGAAGTGGCTCTTGGCAATATGCACACCAACGACCAATTGTAAGCCTAGGAAGATGCCCATGTTTAGCTCGTTGCAACGTGTTCTCTCTGTTTTGTATTGCGTGGCATCTTGCCCACTAGTTTGCCACTCGATGCAAGTTCCAGGGAGTCCAAAAGAATGTTTGTACAATGATGTACTTCAGCCGCATGCTACATGTACCTCTTTACACTGTTTACTGGATTGCTTTCTACAACAGACTACTGCCATCTCATCCCCTTATGCACACACCCCTGAAGTCCTGTGTTTTCCGGAGTGTACGCCGCACTTGAGTATAAGCCCCCTCCCCCCTCCTCTCCCCCCCCCCCCCCCCCCGCATTGTTTGCTACGAAATACAGATATCTGCCCTGTTTATCACCGTTAATTTGACCATCGGAGTATAAGCCGCGCACCCCCCCCCCCTTTTTTTGGAGTGAATTTTGAGTGTTTAAAGTGCGGCTTAGGCTATGATCGTTTGGTCGGATCCAGATCCAAATCTCAGATCTGTTGGATCCTTCAGAATCAACCGATCACTTTTTCTTGGACCTTGGCTGTTGCCATGTTGACGAAGTACAAAATGGCGCTGACAGGTCACCCAAAAGGGCGAAAGTCGTACTAATCGCGCACGTCGTGCAAAAAGTCAACAAAAGTCGATTAGTCGTACGACAATGAGTACAAAAATGATTTTTACGCGCCATATACACACAAAGGTCATATTTGCATCCGATGGATCCAGTCAACCCTGCTCCCGGGGCAGGGTTGCTCGGATCCAAATCCGAAGGATCTGGATCCGGATTCGACCAATCAATCTCTGCAGATCCAGTGGATCCAACGGATCTGGATCTGGATCCGACCAAACGATCACAGCCTTATACTCCGGAAAATACGGTAGCTTTTGTGTTGTTTCTTCTCTTTTAAACAACAACGACGACGGCGACAACAACCCCCGCATACATACTGTACCAGGGGCGTCGCACACGGTACGGTCACTACGGTATTGACCGTACCACTATTTGACCCAAGTACCCCGTGAATCAATAAAATGCACTGATTTGGCATCTAATTTTCCAATTTTTTCGGCTCAGCCACCCTTCCCCCACGAGTAAATTGTACTTCAGATGGCTGACCGTACCACACTAAATTACCTTCCGACGTCCCTGTGTACTACTTCGGCCAGAAAATGGCCATGTTGTTCTTCCTGGGAGTGGGAGTCTCGGAGAGGGAAAGATCGCACGCACACACACACATACATACACACACACACCTGGTCCTGGTCCTGGTAAACACTGCCATTACGGTCACGTGTCCCCTCGCGGGGCCGACAACATGGAAAGAGAGCGAACATTCCATGAGCCAATGCTCAGAGTCGTTCCAGGTCGTCGCCTTTGTGCGGTAGCTTGCTCCACTCGCGGGCTTGCAGGGCCTCGCGAAGGACTCCGAGGTGGGGGTGACGAGGAGAGTGTCGGCATCGTAACTATCCGACCAAGTCTCCTGTCGTTGAAGACCCCACCTCAGGCGCTGCTTGCCTGGACGGCTGGGGACACCCCAGGCCGTCCACAACGGCGAGGACAAGCACGGATGGAGGCCAGAAACAAGAGCCAAAAAAAGTACAACCGTCCTCCACCAGAGCAGAGGACACACACACACACACACACATACACACACACACATACACACACACATACACACACACACACACACACACACACACATACATACACACACACCTTAGTGCTGTTTGCTACAGCATGCCGCTTTGTTGTGTTTGGGATGTAACTTTCCTGCACCATTCATTGCATTCATACCAAGCCCTTCCCTAGACTCTGTTCATGTACATGTTTCCTCTATCACTAGTATTTGAGTAGCTTTCTTCTTTCTTTTCTTTCTTTCTCTTTGCCATTCAGCAAAACCATCACTAAGATACCAGCAAACAAGGATTCGTTGTACTGTCCTGGCAAGCTGGCACACCTGTGTGTCTATATGTTTGGGATGTAACTTTCCTGCACCATTCATTGCATTCATACCAAGCCCTTCCCTAGACTCTGTTCATGTACATGTTTCCTCTATCACTAGTATTTGAGTAGCTTTCTTCTTTCTTTTCTTTCTTTCTCTTTGCCATTCAGCAAAACCATCACTAAGATACCAGCAAACAAGGATTCGTTGTACTGTCCTGGCAAGCTGGCTCCGAACTGGAACAATGCTGTTGTACTGCCAAACGGGGTATGTTTCCTGAAGTGTGTGTGGGTGTGGGTGTGTGGGTGTGTGTGCGTGTGGGTGTGTGTGCACCATGTTGATGCATTGAATGCACTCGCCGTTGCAGTGCAAGGATTTTTAATTCCCGGATATGAGTCGACCCCCGTTTTTAGTTCAGTTTCCTGATGCATAAAATGTAACCGGTGAAATACGGTCATGTGTCTTTTGTAGTGTATACCAGTAGTGTGTAGTGTTGGGTCAGCTACTGTATAACCAGAAATATTCGTCTGGAATTTAATTTCGTCTTTTTCGTCCAAGGAGCTTTTGGACTAAATTGAATGTAGGATTAATGTCGATTTGCCCAGCTTTTCTTTACACTCTTATGATCCATAGACGAAATTTTCAACCGGACGAACTCCTTTTCTTTGGAGTTGGACGAAATTATTGACCGACGAAATTTTCTGCCTCTACAGTATGCTGTGCATGTGCATATGCATGTGTATGTGCACGTCTAGTGGACTGCAGATCCTAGAGAGGAGGTAATGCATGCCTACACGACATGACCATACGGATAGCCATGTTACTTCCAACTCCAGTCGATTCCTGGCATTCCCCGTATCAATGGGTCCCATGATGTCACCCATGCTGGCACCGCTGTCCACACACCATGTGTACTTTCTACATCGAAGCACTCCGATGTGGTCAGAGATCTGAACTCACTGTGTATGACCAGGAATAGCAATGTGCTCTTTGATGCTGCTGCTTGTTTGTTTGTGGCAGGTTGAGATTCCCCTCGGTGACGCAGCCCACCCTGGTCGCAAGGTGAATAAAGCCACAACTAACCCGAACAACTCCTGGCAATTTTCTGAGTACATTGTGCCGAACCAAGCGCAGGTGCGTATCCGCTATGTGCTGGAGATCGTGGCCAACAAGGATGAGAAGTAATCTGGACGGCAGGAGCACGCTTGCGCTTCTGTGCTTTTGGCGACATTGCTCTGATTGTGTTTGTGCAGGTGTGAATGTGAGCGTGTTTGTGTGTGTATGTGTATGTGTGTGTGTACGTGTCTATGCGTCCGTGTGTGTCTATATGTGTACGTGTGCATACCTGTGTGCATGCCCGTCAAGTTTCAACGTGCCGACCATAGCAGTCGGCACTATCATTTTCAACCTTCCTCATGTTCGTGGGAGTTCTCGCTCAACTTTTAACCCTGTTTGTTTTCCATTTTCTTTTTAAACTTTAACCCAGATATCTGGCAGGTTTTGTTTCCATAGATAGATCTAGGTCTCTATACTTTATAGGCCAAGTATAGTTTTCAATATTGAACTTCACTTTTACTTTTTTTTACGTACATGAATGTGGATGTAGCAAGCCGGGGTTGTCTTCACCCTGCGTGTCGTACAGCGTGCTTCGACTCCCGGAGAGACACCTTCTTACTTGGAGTGTGTATATTCTTGGCCTGCACATGTGATTTCTTTCACACAGTATAGTAGCAGATGTCACCAAAGTATGTTTTCTTTTCATATTAATATTTCAGATTGGTTCTATTTTGGTTAGCTTTCTTTTAGCTTTCTTGTAACAAGACCAGAAGAAATTACGCTTCGAACTTGTGTGTAGAAAGGTGCGGGCCTGCAGGGAGTAGTACGAGTATACATGTATTGGCAGTTTTTATTTTATTTTTTTATTCCGCCGATCGATAATACCAAGAGTGCATTATGGACTCTTGATAATACACATTGTCGCTTTGCATCGCCTGGCTAAAGTAATCTTGCAATTGGTACACCTTGTGCTACCAGTACAGTGTGATCTGATGTAGAACCAGCCATTAAATTTAGTGTTGGCAATAGATGACATTGTACAAAAACCAGAGCTTCTCAAGTTTGACCACCTCTCGACATGACCTAGCCTGTGGAGCCTGACTGGAGGTCAGAGAGTTTTGCCCAAACAGGTACCCTGTTGGAGGTTGTCAAGCTAGCTGCTCACCCCACTTTGTTTTGGTACAAGTACATGTAGATGCATTGTTCCAGCCCTTCCAGGACACCGATACCGGTACTTCAAGTTATAGCAAGAGTAAATAAGCTTGTAATCAACCCGAGAGCTGCCATCATTAGATTCATTACAGACAGCCTCCCTCATTCACACACAAGTCACACACATACGCACGCACACCACACCCACACCTAGTACCTCACAGTCGTCATCAAGCAGTCTAGAAAATGGGCCAAATCTGTTTTGACCCAACCTCGGGCCCAAATTACATTCCGAAACCTTGAAAATTGCCAAAGGTGCAAATGTTCGGCCGAGGATCGATGTACCTTTTAATCAATACATGGAAATGCAAGTTTCGTGCAAAACAACGTGGAACAGCCTGCTGGTGTAACTGTCCGCACAAATGCATGCCACAGCGATCCACGCACATGATATAGCGACGTGACCTGGACGCCTGGTTTGTGTTCATCATCAGAGAACTCAAAACCGTATAAGTAATTGGCTGTTCATCATCTTCATCATAATACCAACAAGGCAAGAGTAAGGTACATGTACTTAATTAGGAAGCTACTAATGATAATGCATGTACTAGTACTGAAATGCACCATACGAGTGGAGAGTAGAGCATTCTAGTCTTGTTTGCACATCTGGTATACATGACAACGACATACTCAGGTACTGCCATTGTAGTACATGCACTAGTTGGAACAACATCACAAATCGATTCTCAGGGATCTCAGGAGCATTACATGCACTACCGTTGTTAGTGGTCTGACTACTGTGCTGACCCTGGTCAAGGCCCACCCCAGGAATTCATACCCTGCTTGGACGTTTCAAAGGCGCTGACCTGTTCCAGCTGACCCTAGTCAAGGCCCACGCCAGGAATTCATTCCCTGCTTGGACGCTTCAAATACTGATGCAGCTGTAGTGAACGCACTTGCGGTTGGTCTGCATAAACAGTTACTCACACCTTTGAGTGGGGTCTGACGGAAAGCGCTACTCAGCAGACCGTTGAAAAATAAGAACTGAAGCAAAAAAAATGAAAGAGGGGACATTGCGACTCTCACTTCTTAGGTCAAGAAAGCACAATAGAGGATAGGCATGGACTATACACAGATATTCATGGTTATAAAAAAAAGCCTTACAAGTACAAGACGAGAGGAAGAAAAACATTTACATTACAGCAGAAGCAGGCACACTCTATACTACACACAACATAACACTAGATAGAAACGACACTATCTATATTACAAGACCACATGTATACAATGATTATGTACAGATATGTACGCTATGTGCAATGTGTACACTGCAGGTGCAGGCAGACCAGGAGATACAGCATGCTGGTCCTTACTTCCTCGACCTCTTGTTGCGGGGCATTGACTGACGACCATCCTTGACCTTCTTCTTAGGTGGCATTGGCTGGTCCTCCTTCGCCTTCTTCTTGGGAGGCATCGACTGGTCCTCCTTCGCCTTCTTCTTAGGTGGCATCTTGTGGTCATCCTTGGTTGCAAGCCATTTCCGCTTAGGCCGGCTGAAGATTTCTTCCCGGTGGTCAATCATGTTCTGTGCTTTCCCCACTTCCATCTCTGCTTTCCTCACCTCTTTCTCTTCTGCCTCCTGTTTCAGGATGGTCTTGACTTTCGGCTCAATGTCCGTCAGCTTCTTTCCAAACTTCTCGATCACTTCTGGAGCTACAACACGCACCTTCACTGAACGACCAGAGTCTTTGATAATCTGCTTCAGCATTTTGCGCTCCTTCTCGCCGACCAGAGACACAGAGCGACCCGATTTGCCAGCACGGGCTGTTCTGCCCACACGATGGACGTATTGCTTTATAGATGACGGCATGCTGAAATTGATAACCGTCTTCACACCAGAGATATCAAGACCTCTTGACGCCAGGTCGGTGGCGATCAAATAGTCTACCTCGGCTTTTTTGAAGCTCTCCAGTGCTTCCAAACGCTGCAATTGCGTCAAATCGCCATGCAGCTCCTCCACGTTCAAGCCCAAAAGACCAAGCTGAATTCGAAGCCGATGAGCAAGTACCTTGGTGTTCACGAATATGATCACATGACCGGAGAAAGAACGACAGCACATTGCAGCTACGATAGCAGCGCGAGAATCCTCGCGATGGCTTCGAATTCGCACAAACTCTTGTTGCAGCTTTGCTGCAACTTGTGTGTTGTTGTTGATGAAGAGGCGGACAGGTTGGTTCAGGGACAGTGAGATGAGTTCTTCCACTTCATCCGTCATGGTGGCAGAGAAGAGCATTGTCTGTCGGCCACGGTAACACACGCGCAAGATTTCATGCAGCTGCTCCTGAAAGTGCTCCTGCAGCATTCGGTCCGCTTCGTCCAGAACAAGAATCTCGACGCCCGTCAGGCTGAACGATGGCGTGTTGTGCAAGTGATCCACGAGGCGACCGGGTGTCGCGATCACAATGTCCGGTATCTTGCGCAGCGCCGCCTCTTGCTGCCGCATGTCCAGCCCACCGGCAGCAAGGCATGCCGTGACCGATGTGTGCTCAGCCAGCGACGTGGCTACTGCATGCACCTGCACAGCTAGTTCACGAGTGGGGAGCAACACCAACACACGCGTCATCGATTCCTGCGGCCGAAAGAGCAGGCGCTCCAGAATAGGGAGGATGAATGCGGCCGTCTTTCCTGTTCCTGTCGCTGCACAGGCACAGATGTCTTTGCCAGCTAGTGCGATAGGAATTGTGGCTGTCTGAATGGGAGTGGGGTGAACATACCCCAGACGACTAATGGCCTTCAGCAGAGGTCGTGACAGATTCATCTCCATAAATGTCGACGTAACGACCTGTGGTGGTGGCTGCTCGAAGAATTCATCTTTCTTTTTCCGTTTGACAACGTCCTCCACATCACCAACATCCTTGCCACCAGTTGCTGTTTCCATACGATCTTCGTCATCATCTGACTGTTCGCCATCACCACGGATCATCTCCTCCAGAGCACTGTCGCGTATCATATTCTCCACCAACGATTTGGTGGAGGATTTGCTTGCCACTGTTGCTGACTCCATGGCCTTGGTAAAATCCCACGTTGCAGGAACAAATCCATCGCCCAGGTCCGAGAAAAACCCGTCTCCAGCACATGGATTTAGCTCACATTCAGAATCGCTCTCTTCTGCGTCACTCATCTTCACTCTTTTCTTTTAGAGCTCTAGCTTCCTTGGCTTTGGGCTCACCGATCAAGAGTGAAGAGAGATGAAGATTGAACAGAAAACGAAACTGTACAAACAACAAATCCCAACAATTTTTTTACATATTATAAAATTATTGTTTTACAATAATCTTGCAAGCTGCAAGCGCATGTGATAATGTACGTACGCATGTGTGGGCATGCATCTAGCGCATGCATGGCTAGGCCGGAAAAGACTGCATGCATGCACTGCACTGGTACAAAAATGGCAAAAAAAGAAGATACAATCAGATCATGTGATTGTGATCGTGAATGCTCGATCGCGTGTCAGAAAAAATTAATAATGTGTTTTGCAAGTATGCAACAACTGTGTTGTATTTTGAGAATATTATAATTGCCTTTTATCTTCAGTGAATCAACAAAGTTTCGGACCCTTTAGTTGAGGCTAGTTTCACTGTACAACGATGGTGGTTTAGGAAGGATAATGTTTCGTTTCACCTCGTCGAGCGTACCATGCGCTGCTTGCGCTGGTCGCGTTGTGCTCACGCAATGTCGTCGAGCTACAATGGTCGGCAAGAAGATGATTGGGTCAGGAGACAAATCTATAATCGGGAAGAGGCTGCAGGCACTGTCAGTTGACGCTTCTATGGAGGAAAAGTTGAGAGTCTTCGAGTGTGCAGACGTGTTGAAGAATGAATCCTTTCTAAGCTCACCAGAAGTCGCTGGTGAGCTATAAATTATGACGTAATTGAGCTCAGATGGTGGGTAGAGGATGCACTGCTAAACACTGATCACAACGGTATTCAGTTGCTAGTGCCTCGGTTTGCACGACAAAGCATACCTATGAAGAACATTTTTATTGGTTTGGATCTGTCATGGGCGTTAAAATATGCGTGTGTGTGTGTGCACGCGCGTCTGTGTGCGTGTGTGTCACTGTGTGTGTGTGTGTGTGTAATCAGCGGTGCTAGTGAAGCTTATATCAGATCCACTCTGATTTAGCCACCCACACTAGTAGCAAGATAACCTGGCAGGGGTAACTGCAGTTAGATACGTATACCGGGACGGATACCCTGACGCCGTCAAGCCTTTTTCTGCACCTTGTCCTTACCCACTTACTGAGGTGTGGTGAGCCCATAAGTGGGATCATTTCCACCCGTAGTTTGGGGATTTCAGGGGGTGTCGGCCGTTAGGCAGTTCAATAGCCAATTGAGCTGTCCCCACAGAATAACGCGGACGAAATCCTAAAATTATGCAAATAATTATGCGGGCGAAAACAGGTCATTATCATTTATGCGGCAAATATGTGGTCATTATGGACAAATTCTCTGTCATGTGTACAACTTTAGCATGCAGTTTCATGAAAGTATACAACTTTGTCGTACAAACTCATGCACCGGTACGATTTTGTAGTACATTTTCAACATATACTATTTTCTTGTACATTCCCATGAATAACGCGGGTTTTATGCAAAATCTCTCGAAAACGCGGATGACAGCCTGTTCTTACTCGAACATGCCTCCGGATAGCATACGACTCGTTGTTTTAGAAGACTGTATTATAATGTTTTACTCTGACTCTGATCGAAATCATCTTGCAGTACAAAGGCAAAGTTCTGCTTCTCTCGAAGCAGAAGCGGAGATTCAAAACATTCAAATCAAAAGATCGCGCGAAAGCAGTGTACGCGACTACGCGCATCAGACGTGAATACAACGTGAGGAATGAAAGCAGTGCACGCGACTACGTGCATCAGACGTGAATACAACGTGAGGAATGAAAGCAGTGTACGCGACTACGCGCATCAGACGTGAATACAACGTGAGGAATGAAAGCAGTGCACGCGACTACGCGCATCAGACGTGAATACAACGTGAGGAATGAAAGCAGTGCACGCGACTACGCGCATCAGACGTGAATACAACGTGAGGAATGAAAGCAGTGTACGCGACTACGCGCATCAGACGTGAATACAACGTGAGGAATGAAAGCAGCGCACGCGACTACGCGCATCAGCCGTGAGTACAATATGAGGAATGAAAGCAGTGCAGCGCACGCGACTACGCGCATCAGCCGTGAGTACAATATGAGGAATGAAAGCAGTGCAGTGTACGCTACGCGCATCAGACGTCAGCTAGCTGACGTGAATACAACACGAGGAACGAATGCATAAGTAGTATAGTAATGCACAACAGTACAACAAGCAGTGCTGATAGACACACATAAAAACGGAGTGGCTCTGCACCATAATCAGTGGGATGGATATAAACTGTACACAGCCAATAACGCGGAAAATTGCGCGTCCGCGGAATCACGGTATCCTGTGGGGACAGATTGAGTCATCTTCTCAAGATTCCTCTTGAATCTCTCTCGCCTCTCCCGGGGAGACCCATGTGACCAGTTCTGGCAGTGAGCAAATACAAGTACACGTGTGTGTGTGTGTGTGTGTGTGTGTGTGTTGTGTATGCATACGTGGGCGTGTCTGTGCTGTGTGTATGCGTGGGCGTGTGTGTATGTAAGTGTGTGTATCTGCTAATCAATGGTGCCAGTGAAGCTTATATCAGATCCACTCTGATTTAGCCACCCACACTAGGAGCAAAATTACCTTCACTGGGGCAGGGGTAACTGCAGTTGGATCCCTGGACGGATACCTTGATGCTGTCAATCCTTTTCTGCACCTTGTCCTCACCCACTTACTGAAGTGTGGTGAGCCCACAAGTGGGATCATTTCCCAAGTCCACCCATAGTTTGGGGGCTGCAGAGGGTTTCGGCCGTTGGGCGGTTCAATACCTAATTGAGTCATCTTTCCGAGATTCCTTTCGAGTCTCTCTCCCCTGTCCCGGGAGACCTGTATGGCCAGTTTTTGGCAGTGAGCAAGTACAAGTATGTGTGTGTGTGTTTGTATGTGTGGTTGTTATGAAATCTCTATTGCAGATAACATTGTGGCCAGTATGCAACCTGATATACAAGGAAAGCCTTTTGTTCATCTCAATGGAGGTACATGTAATGTCTGTTTACTGTGAGAGACATTGTGCAACATGCTACTGTGGGGTACACATGCATGCTGTTATACGTTGGGTCATTTTCTACAAGGGGACCATTAGCAAGCCGTGAAATCGGCAACGCGAAGGGGGAGCTGGGTTAGAGTCCCGTCCTGACCACGCAAAACATACTCATGTTTGACGAGCTCGGAGGGGTCTACTCATCATGACCGCAACGCTTGTACGAGTGGGTTTTAGTCCGGTACGTGCGATTTCAACCATGATACGGAGAATGGCACCATAAATCGCACCTCTTTTTTGTCTGAGATTTTTCTCGAATTTCAAAAATGTTTCATCCATTCTTGTTGGAATAAATATGATGGCGAAACGTACCTAACAGCCAGTAGCACCATTGATTTTGGCATAACCATTACTAACATGACACAGAACAGGATTGAGGGTAATACCAGTGCCGAAAATTAGACTTGTTCAAGACCTACTTCAGCTTGCTCGCTCGATTTTTGTCGACTGCTCCGAAACGTAAACATTTTTCGTAAGGTTCTCAACTGACTGGCTCCATTGTAAAGTCTTTCGGAGAATGTTTTGACATAGACCTCGTGAACATAACCCTTTGCTGCACCCATCGATCGGCGATGTGGCTGTCAAGGGGTTTCTTTCACTTTCATCCGGGTAAAAGTCAGCCAGGGCTGAGGCTGAGAATTGTTCTCAAGGGAAAGTTCGCAAAAATCATTGCCAGTAAAACATCAGAAAACTGTTTGAAACTGGAAAGCAGCCGACTAGCGTAGACCAGTTGTGAACACGACAAGCTAATCCTAAATCACGCCATGTTTCACGTGCGTTCCGATGAACTCGTTCCAGTTGACGTTTCACGGCTTGCTAATGGTCCCTAATTAGGGGTGAAACAATTATACCGAGTACTCGAGTACTCGCTCGGTTTTTTCAAAAATAATCGTACTCGGAATAAATCAGAGTACTCGTTCATACATGGTGCATGCATTTATCACAGAAATCTGCAGTTTCAGAGCAGCAGTCGGCAGATATTGAGGTGCAGACTGTGTGGTGAACATTTGTTCACGAGTAGAGAGAGCCCAAATGACCAACAAACCGATATACCCGAGAAAAATGACTGCTACTCTGTTCAATCAGGGTTGTATCATATGATTTTAAGGCCCTTGGTGTGCAATTTTTAGGGGATGAAGAATACTCGAATACTCGAATATTCGATCGGAGAAAATCAGAGTACTCGAACTCGGGATCTCGGTGCCAACTTTCACCCCTATCCCTAATATATCTCCCCCGCATTTCGAGTTCTCTCTCTCTCTCTCTCTCTCTCTCTCTCTCTCTCTCTCTCTCTCTCTCTCTCTCTCTCTCTCTCTCTCTCTCTCTCTCTCTCTCTCTCTCTCTCTCTCTCTCTCTCTCTCTCTCTCTCTCTCTCTCTCTCTCTCTCTCTCTCTCTCTCTCTCTCTCTCTCTCTCTCTCTCTCTCTCTCTCTCTCTCTCTCTCTCTCTCTCTCTCTCTCTCTCTCTCTCTCTCTCTCTCTCTCTGGGGTTACCAATAGTTTTTGCAAAACGAAAAGGTTAAGTATTTTTCAGTACCCACCCACCCACCTACCTTTTCTGCAGGTAAAACGAATTCAAATAAAATATTGATGTCAATTTTCGCCAACCACATGCAACTGGGCATTCTCCATCTGCATTCAATAATTATTTTCAAAACGAAACTCCTTCAAACCCACCCACCCCCAAACGAAAACTTTTCGTTTTGAAAATACTATTGGTAACCTTGGACGGCCCCTTACTTCCTTTAGTCTCATTTTGAATTTTTGACAAAATCAATTTTTTCAATGTCTGCTAATCTTGATGCATGGCTAATTGTCTATGGTTTGCCAGGTCCCGGCGTGTTGAGCATTGCGGCGATCAAGGGCGGCGCCGAATCTGCAACGGTCACAGATCCCCGCGGCGTGTTCTATCCGCTTATGTTGGTAAGACGCTTTCCTTATCTATGTGTATGCATACCAGTATGCGCATGCAAGTGCACCTGCATGCACACACACACACATACATACATGCACGTGCGCACACACACACACACACACACACACACACACACACACACACACACACACACACACACACACACACACACACACATGTGTGTGCGTGCATGAGTATGTGTGCGTGTGTGTGTGTGTGTGTGTGTGTGTGTGTGTGTGTGTGTGTGTGTGTGTGTGTGCGTGTGTATGTGTGTGTGCGTGTGTATGTGTGTGTGTGTGTGTCTGTGCGTGTGTGTATGTGCGTATGTGGTGAATACCACTTTGTATGGCTCTATGAGACTGGGGAGGGCAATGCATTTCTGTTTGTGTGTTAGTACAAGTACAGTCTACTCGCGATAAGTCACGCACAGTGTCCTGGAATAGAAAATGCGCGACTTACCGAGAGTGCGCGACTTACATTATACACACGTCATGCATATGTACAGCCGTCATTTTTTCTTCTGCATATGGACATGTGTGCTGAACACGCGTACAAGCACTGTACTGAGCTGCATGCGCACGGTAGACCTACACTGTCTGTAGTCTACACTGACTGACACTGTACACTGCTGTACACGAGACGTAGATCTACCACAGCGTGAAGCCATGATCCGTTGATCGATATGAAGGCATGATCGAGAAAGAAAAGTAACGACGTTCCGTTACTTTTGCCGTTTTGGTAGGGATTTGACAAGACGCACTTCTGTTTCAGTCGTGTAAACACTTCGTTTCCCTTTGCTTGACGATGCCTTCTCATAAGAAAACGAAAGAACAGCGAACAGTGGCGGATCGACTGCGTTTGGTTCGTCTCTATCGTGAGAGTGGAAAAACCTCCGCTCGAAAATTTGCGAAGTTGAACAATGTTCTGGAGGCGATGTTCCGCGGCTGGCTGAGGGATGCTGAAGCTGGCAAACTCGCCGATGCTAATCCGTCTGGTCCACAGGGAGTCCGCAACAGAAGTTCCCAGTTCGGGAAAATTGAGGAGCGGCTAGTGAAGTATATTTTGCTTCGAAGGGAGAAGTTTGTGACTGACAAACTTGGATTGTCGTGGGTGATCCTGAGGGTGAAGGCTCTCATACAATATGCACATAATAATTATATTCTTACCTTTACAGTATTCAAGCTCCATCATTGAAAACCACATCATTCGCAAATATTCACGAAATCCACGAAATCCACAAAATCCCGAAAAATTAAAAAATCTTGAGGTGGGTGTCCTGGATGAAAAAGTGCGTGACTTATCGCGAGTGCGTGACTTGAAAGTGCGTGACTTATCGCGAGTAGACTGTACTGGTGTATATGTGTGCGTGCTTTCCTTATATTGGCAGTGTTGGTTGTATATTTGTTTCGCCTCCATGATCTCCTGCGTGATTTCGTCATCTTCTATTTTCTTCAGAATTATCTTCGCTTCTATGGCAACTTCCATGTACACAAAATGGCTTATGATTCAGTTGTACGTGCATCCACGGAAACAACGGACAGGGTGAAGATATCGATGAAGACCTCTGATGTCATTGAAATGAAAAGCTATCCATGGGAAAGCGGTGAGTCCTGGAAAGAGAAGACACCCTTAGCAAAAAACGTTATGTTGTAACGATATTACCGTAAGGGGGAAAATACCGTGATTTGGGTTCGACCTTTAGCTAGATGCACGCTATTTTTAGTACGCTGTTGCCACGAGAATAGCTTTTATTTCGCGAGGTACAACCATTTATGTCACCATATACGCGATACAAGGTGAAATGCGTACGGACTATGCTATATTTGGCCAAAAAACGTATCGTTTGTCACAATGATAAATCAGCCCCCATAACATTTTTACACTGCAGCTTCAACGCTATTTGGCCAATTTTGGGTGATCAAGGTACGAGTACCGTAAAAAATAGCGTTGCCGTTGTTTGCTAAGGGTGTCTAGTATGTACAGTATACTGTATTAACAAATAACAAGCGTGTGCAAAGTGCTGGTCTGGTCCATAGCTGAATTTATTGTTGACAATCAACCACTAGTACTTCTTTGGCATGCCATGAGAAAAGCATACCACTCTCACTCCAGTATGCGAGTTCTGTCGGCTTCCTCGTCGGACAACGCGCATAGAACTCGAATCCGATGAATGTGAGTATAGTGCTGAGTGCTGGTGACTTAGTCGTTGTACAACCACTACCACACAGGTGCAAGCCTGCCGTGTGAGTAGTTGCGTTCCTACTCCACCACAAGAGTACCAGCTCTCGCATAGGGCGAACCATGTCTTTTCCAGCTCAAAGCAACAGAGTGAGTATCACGTTGGTAGTCGGAGACTCCAAATCGTGCGTGCAACAAACTGTTGTACTTTTCTGAGGCGTTCACACTCCTAGCATGACGCAAGCGATGATGAAGTACTGGACCCGGTGCCGCGCCAGTACATTGTTACTCCCTGGCCTCTTGATGTTCTATTATTCTGTGTGGTAGTGGAGTGGGGCGTAGGTGGGAGTCGTCTGGTGAGAATTTAGGAATGTGTCTGTGCTCTGCCTGGAATGGAGAACAGGAAGAGATGAAAATGAACATACATTACCGTTGGCCTCTTGATGTTCTATTATTCTGTGTGGTAGTGGAGTGGGGCGTAAGTGGGAGTCGTCTGGTGAGAGTTTAGGAATGTGTCTGTGCTCTGCCTGGAATGGAGAACAGGAAGAGATGAAAATGAACATACATTACCGTTGGCCTCTTGATGTTCTATTATTCTGTGTGGTAGTGGAGTGGGGCGTAAGTGGGAGTCGTCTGGTGAGAATTTAGGAATGTGTCTGTGCTCTGCCTGGAATGGAGAACAGGAAGAGATGAAAATGAACATACATTACCGTTGGCCTCTTGATGTTCTATTATTCTGTGTGGTAGTGGAGTGGGGCGTAAGTGGGAGTCGTCTGGTGAGAATTTAGGAATGTGTCTGTGCTCTGCCTGGAATGGAGAACAGGAAGAGATGAAAATGAACATACATTACCGTTGGCCTCTTGATGTTCTATTATTCTGTGTGGTAGTGGAGTGGGGCGTAGGTGGGAGTCGTCTGGTGAGAATTTAGGAATGTGTCTGTGCTCTGCCTGGAATGGAGAACAGGAAGAGATGAAAATGAACATACATTACCGTTGGCCTCTTGATGTTCTATTATTCTGTGTGGTAGTGGAGTGGGGCGTAAGTGGGAGTCGTCTGGTGAGAGTTTAGGAATGTGTCTGTGCTCTGCCTGGAATGGAGAACAGGAAGAGATGAAAATGAACATACATTACCGTTGGCCTCTTGATGTTCTATTATTCTGTGTGGTAGTGGAGTGGGGCGTAAGTGGGAGTCGTCTGGTGAGAATTTAGGAATGTGTCTGTGCTCTGCCTGGAATGGAGAACAGGAAGAGATGAAAATGAACATACATTACCGTTGGCCTCTTGATGTTCTATTATTCTGTGTGGTAGTGGAGTGGGGCGTAAGTGGGAGTCGTCTGGTGAGAATTTAGGAATGTGTCTGTGCTCTGCCTGGAATGGAGAACAGGAAGAGATGAAAATGAACATACATTACCGTTGGCCTCTTGATGTTCTATTATTCTGTGTGGTAGTGGAGTGGGGCGTAAGTGGGAGTCGTCTGGTGAGAATTTAGGAATGTGTCTGTGCTCTGCCTGGAATGGAGAACAGGAAGAGATGAAAATGAACATACATTACCGTTGGCCTCTTGATGTTCTATTATTCTGTGTGGTAGTGGAGTGGGGCGTAAGTGGGAGTCGTCTGGTGAGAATTTAGGAATGTGTCTGTGCTCTGCCTGGAATGGAGAACAGGAAGAGATGAAAATGAACATACATTACCGTTGGCCTCTTGATGTTCTATTATTCTGTGTGGTAGTGGAGTGGGGCGTAAGTGGGAGTCGTCTGGTGAGAATTTAGGAATGTGTCTGTGCTCTGCCTGGAATGGAGAACAGGAAGAGATGAAAATGAACATACATTACCGTTGGCCTCTTGATGTTCTATTATTCTGTGTGGTAGTGGAGTGGGGCGTAAGTGGGAGTCGTCTGGTGAGAATTTAGGAATGTGTCTGTGCTCTGCCTGGAATGGAGAACAGGAAGAGATGAAAATGAACATACATTACCGTTGGCCTCTTGATGTTCTATTATTCTGTGTGGTAGTGGAGTGGGGCGTAAGTGGGAGTCGTCTGGTGAGAATTTAGGAATGTGTCTGTGCTCTGCCTGGAATGGAGAACAGGAAGAGATGAAAATGAACATACATTACCGTTGGCCTCTTGATGTTCTATTATTCTGTGTGGTAGTGGAGTGGGGCGTAAGTGGGAGTCGTCTGGTGAGAATTTAGGAATGTGTCTGTGCTCTGCCTGGAATGAAGAACAGGAAGAGATGAAAATGAACATACATTACCGTTGGCCTCTTGATGTTCTATTATTCTGTGTGGTAGTGGAGTGGGGCGTAAGTGGGAGTCGTCTGGTGAGAATTTAGGAATGTGTCTGTGCTCTGCCTGGAATGGAGAACAGGAAGAGATGAAAATGAACATACATTACCGTTGGCCTCTTGATGTTCTATCATTCTGTGTGGTAGTGGAGTGGGGCGTAAGTGGGAGTCGTCTGGTGAGAATTTAGGAATGTGTCTGTGCTCTGCCTGGAATGGAGAACAGGAAGAGATGAAAATGAACATAAATTACCGTAAAGTACCCGCAGAGCGCCCCACCATCTTGTCCTTTCATGGTCGAATTGTGGATGTGGTGTCCTGTCTGTAGGTCATACGACACGAACCTTGTACACACCTTGCACGTTGTGGAGTCAATCCGTACTCAATTTATCTTCGAGCGGACATG